GGACTGGACTGATACATCTACCAGGAGAGATGGGAGCTACGCATTAGAGAGGCTGGGATAAACAGAAACATCTTGTCCTAAAAACTGTTTTCCTTCTGCAAAACAAAAGTGGAACAGTGGGGAAAGCGGCATGTTGAGCGGCCTTTTATCCTCCCCCGCCTTAATTGTAAATAATGAGTGTTTTCTGGGGGAGGGGAGGTGGGGCTCCCCAGATTACAGGCTCTCTGAGTCTGTCTGTGAATTTAAAATGTGCAGGATGAAAGGCTGAGTGGAGCAGCGATCATCATGAGATGGTTCAACCAAACACTCCACCATGCAGCTGGAGGAGACTGCTGCAGGTTTCACTGCCTCTCATTCAGTTCCTCAACACATCTCTGGGTTTTATCTGAAAACTCTTTCATTTCTCTAGTTTCACCAAAACAGGAAGTGGACCCTGGGTCACATGGTTCCTGATGCAAAGCCAAGAAGTTCTAAGGAAAAAGCAACACTAACAATGCAAAAATAATAAATATTATATCAAAAATACATAAAGTTAATGCAGTGTTGTGTAAATCAGTGAACAAGCCCCCTGCTGCCCTATGAAAAGCTCATTAAAAAAGGAAAAAAGCTTCATTTAAATAGAATTTCTGAGTGAAACAGAAACTCTGATCAGTTCAGATTAAAGGCCTCAAACAAAACAAGCTTTTATTCTTTCATCTATTTGTCCTTTCATTTGGTTTCTACATACTATTTCCTCATTCTTCTATCAAACCTGCCTATTTAACATCCCAACATGGAGATGGATGGGGAAAGACTTTGCTAAAGTCAAACTTTCATGAGCGACTGTAGGATGGAGCAGAGGATGGATGGACGGTTGGGGTCTTGTCTGAGGTAATGTAGGCGGTTCTGTGGGCTCTCAGGCTGATTATAGATCTGTTTACGCTAAAACCCTCAGCTTTGGTCATCAGACATAGATTCTGGCCAAAAGAACGAGACCATCAATGCAAGTAGCCCGAATGACGTCACTGCTGCCGGGATCTTTGGATAAACAAAGCACAAACAGAATGGTGGCCTCTGAAGAAAATGTCACTATTCATCCACCATGTAATGTTGGAGATGAGAGCATCCCAGGAGCTTCGTTTCAATATTCTTCAATACAGAAGCTGAATGTTGAGAAACTTTAACGATGGTTGAACTGCAGCGGACTCAAAGTGGGTGGAAAGGTGCCAGCTTTGGTTGAATGGTAGGGCTTTTCTTCTAGCTATGGTCAATGGTAGCTAACACTCGCTAGCACTACCTTGTTAAGTTTCTGCTTAGCAATCGGTGTAGGTAAAATATTGATTTATCAATGCTTTGCAGTAAATTTTTCCAATTAAATATCAATTAGGAAAAACCTGTGAATCGATTAGATCTCCTGTTCCTGTACCATATTAAACGGCTCTTCTTCTTTGGTTGATTTGCAGTTGGTGAATAACTATTGGTGCACATTAAGTTGTACCTATTAATAATCTAAATCAGCCGTTAACAAACTAAACCAGCTTTCAGACACACAGACGTTTCTCCTAAAGCTTTCTGCTCCTGTTTGTCCAGAACTAAAATGGCCACTTTTCGCTGCTCTAAATTTAGCAGTGTGATGTTATTTGCGATCAGTGTCTTCGGTTTTCGAGTAGATCTCCTGCTCCACCGAGTCACTTGAAGTGGTTCAGGCACCTAGGTGCTGCCAGGAAACTCCCAGAACCTTCTGGAGGGTCTGGTTCTGCCTCCGGGTCTGGGAATGCTTTGAGAAGCAGGAGAATGTCACTGGCGGAAAGAAGCTTCTGGGTTTTCCATCCAGTCTCAGAAAACTACCTGAGGTTATGAGTTGAAGGTAAAATGCTAGATGTCCTTGAAGCATGGGGTGAAATGGTGAGTGGTGACAGTAATCTAAGGTTAGCTCACCTTAGTAAAGTCTGTCCGTTAGGGAAGAGTAAAAGCAGAAAGACATGGAAAGCATCAAGCATTTGGTTTAGTTAACTCCATGGTTCACTGTGCACAGTGGTGGCATTAAGACAAAGTGTCATCAGACTGCGTGTCTCACCACAGGGTTTTCTGTCTTGATGGATTTCACGTGCAGGTATTCCTCCGTGACTCTGGGGGAGCTGTTCTCCATCAGCTTGTCCTCCCCGTGGAGCCTGGCGGCTCTCTCGTTCTCGCCGTTCTCCCTGGGTGGTCTGGGCGGCAGGTCGCTGCGCTGCCTCTTGGTGACGTGAGCCTCCGGGCCGTGAACCGTCTTCACGTGCTTCCTGAGAGAGCTGGGGTCCGTGTAGCGCTTGGTGCATCCCGGGATTTTACAGACGTACGGTTTCTATGGAGACAAATTATATTCAGTTTATTTATTCAGCATCAATTCAAAACAAATATAGTCTTGAGGCAATTTTCAAATAAAATTATTTTAAATGAAATCATATATATTCCAACTAATCATAGTTATCAAACAGTACAGAAATAGCAATAGCAGCTCAGAGATGAGCTGGAGGAAATCTATCTTTTAACAGATTATTTATATCACAACAAACCGTTTTAGCAAATACATAAAAAAACATTTTTTTTTATAACGGTTAGATAATGTAGCTTTTAAGGCTACATTTAGGCTATCACCTTCAGTGTCAACATGAATGTTAAACTTGCTATAATCAGTTTTTCACACTAAAACAGGTCAATAATCTGATCTCAGTGGATGACTGGAGGAAACGATTCAGCTTCTGGATCGCCTGTATTTTTGAAACATTCAGTACCAGCTGCATCGGTTCTGATCCGAACCTTCTGGTCTTCACAAATGAATTCCTGTCAGTTTTTCAACTACTTCAATCAGTTCACACATCCAGCAGTGTGAGCAGATCCATAATGGATTCTGTGTGAAGTCCCAGCCGTCTGTACCTCGTTGGAGTGTGTCCGGTTCTGGTGCTTGGCCCGGTCCGAGGCGTTAGAGAAGGCCTTGTTGCAGCCTTCGTGCTCGCAGACGTAGGGTTTCTCCCCGGTGTGAGAGCGCAGATGGGTCTTCAGGTTCTCCAGGCGGGAGTAGGCCTTGGAGCAGCCCTCGAACTGCAGAGGAGGTCGTTAGAGAGAAAATTCATGACAGGAAAATCCTTCCATTCTCTGATTGTTGTTGACTTTCTCTGTTTCAACGAGGAGCTGAGATAACCAGAGGAAACATCGCAGATCAAACTGCTCACCAATTTGTTCACCAACATGCTCCCTTTTCATCAGACAACTACCTTTTCAATTATTTAGATTATTTTCCAGCAGAACTGTTAAATATTCTGTTTTCCAGAATATCTGAGGGAGATTCGGCCTTTATTTACCTCGTTAGGATCCTAAACAATCATTCTGGAGCCCAGATACGTCTCGTCTCATAAGTTTCTCTGTTTTTCTTCTTTCAAAACTGGATCAGACTCAGAAAGCAGGAAACACAAACACCAGATTGGCTCCTGGTCACCATTTATGAGTAAAGCTGCTTTGTTTATTACTAAAACTCCTCGACTGATGAGGCATCTTCAGAAACAGTTTGATCCTTAAATTAACTCTGGATAACATTTTATAACTGAAAGCATTTCTGTGAACATTTATGTTCATCGTTTTAGTTATTTTACTGTCACTCAAAATTTTTTGCACAGTGATGCTATTTGAGATGTTATTGCTTAGCATTTGTGAACTAGCCTATAAATGTTCCTTAGTGCTGATTGGCTGTAAGGTTATTTCCACTGGACGTATTAATGGATATTAAAACATATTTGGAGTTTGAACTGTTAAAATAAACAGTAATACAGCTGAAGTCAGAATTATTATCCTCCCTCTGATGAAAAACTTTTGATGTTTCAACAGAAATGACTAAAAAAAACTTGTTCTGCTTCTAAAATATCAGAGATGAAATCAGTAAATTTCAAGGTTTATTTAAAAAAATAGTTTTTTATGTATTTGAAAGAGCCAGGAGGCGGGGCTTAATGCTGTCAATCACAACTTTGCTCTCTGGTCGCTGCAGCTAGCAGTTTGTCATGAATGCTAAGGCTAGTTAGCATAGCCACCAATGATGGTGGATAAATGGTTTTCCTGTTACGGTAAGTTGTTTCTCTGCCATTAAAACATTTAGCAGCCAGTGCATGAGGTTGATTGACAGTGCTAAGCCCCGCCTCCTGGCTCTGATTGGCTGTTTTTGGTGCATTTCTTAAGACAGCAACAGTAGCTCAGGGATGAGGTTATCTGTCTCAACATGCTGATAGTTTTAACAAGAACATTTTTATAAAACTTACAAAACTGCAGCTTTGTGTGATTTCATCAGGGAGAGAATAATCCTGACCTGATGGGTGTATTTAGAAAACCTCCATTAAGGACAAACATTAATCTGATGTTTATAATCTGACTTTAATAATCTGAGGGAGCAGGATCATGGATGAACCCCATCCTGAGCCTCAGTCTGCTCAGCTGCAGCACCAGCCCCATGTGAACGCTTGGCGTTGTTTAGAGCGGTGCTGCCCCCCAGGGGCTCGTTGGGGGCCCGTCCGGGAGTGATCCGTTACCCACCGTGCATTTGTGTGGTTTCTCCCCCGTGTGCCGGCGCATGTGAACCACCAGCATGTACTGCGCCTTGAAGGGCTTCTGCTCCCGCGAACAGTCGTCCCAGCGGCACACGAACTCCTTCTTCTCTCCATGAATGTGGTCGTTATTGATGTGCTGGGGGGACACAGAGCAGGGAGAGATGAGGGCGTTCTGCAGAGGGGGTCCGCTCTGGACCGTCAGCCTGGATGTTTCTGGAGAGATCAATCTTATCAGAGTAAATCCCTCCGGAGTGCCGCGGCACATGCTGCTAATGAGTCCTGACGCTCAAATCTTTGGGAACTAGAAACCCGATCTGACAGCATGGAGGAAAATATGATGATTTTATTTCTCACTTCAATCAGCGCTGAAGGAATCAGCAGCAGTAAGATAGATGCTGGGTTTGAATCCAGGTCAGACTGAATCTAAAACTACTTCCTGCTTCCTTTCAGAAAACAACAAGCTGCTGCTTCACTTTGGACCAATCAGAGCAGGAGGCGGAGCCAAAACAACCTGCAGGTACTGAGAGAATGGGTCACCTGAAGCCATGAGAGAAAACTAAAATAAACTGGAAATAAAAAAAGTCAGATGATTATAATCTCATAAATCTGACTTTTCTCGGAATTATAACTTTAAATCTTGGAACATTTAAAAAAAAATTAAAATCGTATAGATGTGAGGCTTTGAGTTGAAATGATCAGACGGGAAGCGTCTAATCTGAGGTCAGATTGAGCAGATTAGGAGGTGAAGTCATGAGGAATCCTCTAATGTTCTAAACCGGAGCAGATCTTCAATCTTTAATCAGTAACTGATGTTTATAGATGTGGGGAAGCAGTGAGATGACAGAATAAAGTGTTTGTTTGAGCTGAAACAGTGAAGCTGAAGAGCTTCGTACAGAAAAGTGTCGCCTGTGGATTCTGGTCTGGTTAGTGAATGACTGGAGCCGTAATCCGTCTCTCTCTCTGCCTGACTGGAGGCCAGGAATGCTGCAGGGCTTTTTACCCGAGCGGCTCGCTGCGATGGGAAGCTGGACCCAGGAGGGCGTGTCCTGAAGCTCCTCGGCTGAACGATGAGCTGAAACGTGAGCGGTCTGTGTGGTACGTACATGCACCAGCTGCTCCTGCGTGTCGTACTCCTGGCTGCAGCCGTCCCAGTGACAGTTGGTCTCGTAGACGGCCTCGGCCTCCTGCTTGCACTCGTCTCGCTCCACTTCCTCCTTCAGGTCCTGAGCGCTGCTGTACTGGTTCTGCAGAGAGTCCAGGTTTTAAACATGTGTTAGAGATTTCTCTTAAACAGAAAACTGACGTTTCCTCGCGTTTCATTTAGCATCCAGAGTCGGTTAATTACAGATTCATCTGGAAACGTCTCCATGAAGCTGCAGGAAAGTTAAAGAGGCAGGAATCCGACGTGTTTGGATTTCGTTCACCACAAACTAACACACGAGAAGTTTGTTTAGGACTCTTTATAATTTAGCAACATTACAGAGTTTCTGCAAGTCAGCAAGATGAAATCAGGCTGCAGGACACTTTCCTGTAAACATTTCAACAAAAAGAAATGAAGCTGAGACGTTTTAGGTGTGCAGAGGAATCTCAGGTGTTTAGACTCAATCTCCTGTTTTTAAATATGTAAAAAAATATATTCTGTGGCTCTTTTTTATTTTGACAGCACAATTTATTCTTCAGAAATGGTTAAAATCTCAGAGTAATCCTCAAAAATAAAACAAATTATTCAGAAAAATGATCATTTCAGGAGTTGAAATGCTTTTAAGGGGTTTTTCACTTGTATTTTTGATTTTATTATAGTTCTCATGATTTAAAAAAAAATATTTTAAAAAGTGACATTTTATTTTCTATGTTTTTCTTTATTAAAAGTGTCTTAGTTACATTTTCTACACATCGTCTTTTTGTAGTTCTATAATCTACGAACTATTTTAAAATGCCGAATAAATAATGTTTTCAGCTTTTCCATTTTTTCAGTTTCTTTAAATAAAGATTCTAGATACGTTTTCTCTCTAAAATGGCCTCAAACATTATTTATTAAATTATTCTTAAATTTCCAACTGAAAAAGTTCCTTTGTTTCTAAATTTTCTCTCCTTGGTGTCTGATTTCTGCCGGTGGCTCAGTGTGTCCCCTTCAGGTTCCCATACGGCTCCACCGACACAAAGAGCCGTAGCTACACACCAAAACACAATGTGCTGACGGCAGCATGCTTCTTTCTCCCCCACACACACACACACACACACACACACACACACACACACACACACACACACGCTCTCTTCATCAATTCTGGTGGCCCCAAGACGACTGCGCTCGGCGCCGTCCCCATGCATCACAACCAAAGCTGCCTCGCGACCGGAGAGCAGCCGCAAATTTGTCAAAAGAAGAAGAAAAAGGCTCCTCAGATGACAATAAAGCCGGGCCAATATTTCATGAAAATGAAGTGCTGTGGCACAGTTTACTGTGGCCAGGCGGGGGGGGGACCAAACAAATGGATGCAAAGCTGTTATCATGTGGAGTTTTTCTTTATCTGAGACCGGTTTTACATGGAGGTCACCAGAGGCTGCGGCTCCCGGGGGCCCGGATGCCACACTTCTGGAGGATCACAAGCTGTCTAAACGGCGTCCGCTGCTTATCAAGTCGCTCTTTATCAAAATAAATGTTCCACAATCAGAAAGTCCTCTTCCCATCTCTTAATTTCTGGTAAAACCCGTCCTATGGACTCCTCTAAGGCTCCAACATACTTCAGGGTCAAAGTGGATGTCCACCGGACATTTCCACGCAAAGAACCATTTCAATCACTGTGTACTCGGTGTCGCACAGTAAACAGTGATCAAAGTAAACAGTGATCACATCAAACCGTTTCGCATCATGTGACACCGGGCTGATAAGGTTGAGAGTCAGCGCACCGACTCGGGAGGACACACAGAGTGACTGCTGCTCTCTGCCCCACACTGACAGGGGAAAAGATGCCCTGATGGAGAAAAACAGGCCCAGGAACCCAACAAGCTCAACAAACTTACTAGTATCCTTTAGAATTGTGGGAAATAAAAGAATCTGTCACGAGAAATATAGGGAATTGGTACATTGCCTACATTGTATTGATGTAGGCAATGTACCGAGTGCCTACATCGGTACAACGCATCTATGTACGCTTTGCTATACTAGCAATAGGTACAGTTGACTATGAAATCCCAGCCATGCGGTTCACAGAAAATGCACAGTACGCCTGAGTCCGTGGAAACCTTCAGGCTACAGTCCAACTCCCCACAGGGCCAATCAGGAAGCCCCGTTGCCCCGTCGTACCGGTGACAGAGGAGATCCCGGCTTCAGGCCGTCCAGCTCCGCCTTCACTTTGGACCGTTTGTTGATGGGATCCACCGAGCTGCTGACAGCAGAGTCTCCTCCGTGGTTCTGAGAACAGAATGAAGGATACAGCTGACAGAATGAGAGGACTGATCAATGACTTGTACCAGCTGATTTAAGTGAACATGGCAGGGTGATCTACTGGCAGAAGACCACACCAGGTACAACTCCTCTGGGCTTAGAGTAGGCCAGTTTTTCTGAAATCTCTTGTTATATTTCCCCGTCCAGTTGATGCTGTTTGGACCCTTAGATTTGACCAATGATTATGGATTTTCAGCTCCACATCTACTAACGTCTTATCACGGGCTGAAAATGGAGGTTGAGTTGTTGCTCTTCGAGCCTTCACTCATCCAGTGATATAAATCCTTGGTCCAATAAACGAATCCAATCTGCTGCCAGTCAAATCGTTTGCATCCAATGCCCGGCCTGTTCCACCCATAAGGTGTTCCCAAAAACCAGGAATGATCTGCAGATGGAGAGGATCTGATGGGTCCACAGTCAGATGCCTCTGGGTTCTCAATCTCCAGTCAGTCTCATTGACTTTAGGCTCTTAAATCTGAATTCCTGATCATTGCTTTTGTGTTTGGAGCGTTCAGTTTCTTTAGCCTGAAGCTGCATGGAGCAGAAATGTTCTCAGCTTACAGGAACCATCACCTGGGATGACGTGATTTTTCTGTTTATGTTTGACAAAGAGCAACATAAACTCACGTCAACAATGACTCCATTCACTTTACGATGCTTTTACTTTCTGTGGGAAAGAAACTATTCTTTCCCACAATGCTCTCCCAGTCAAACCGTACAAGATCTCCACAGCTGATAAACCTATAATCCATAAACTCATCTATTGGTTAAACTGTTGTATAATCCTGTTTAATCTGCTCTTGAAAGTGACCAGTGATCACAGAATGACCCATAACCTCCTGATCTAAAGGTCCTGGTTGATTTACTGTTTTTCTGTAACAACCTGAAGCCGACAAAATAAGAAACTCTGAGCTTCGGTTTGTCTGCCAGGGAAAGTTTCATCCTACTCCTGCTATAAAGGCTGCAGTGTTGCTCTGCACCAGCAGGAGGTCACATAAGGTCATTCTGGTTGGGTCACTTTATCAGAGTCAACTGGCCCAAACTTACTTTTATGTACTTTTGACCACTTGACTCTTAAACTCATGAACTGTAATGCAAAGTAAAGTTTTACTCCGTAGTTTGAGACGACTGGGACGGACAGTGGAACCAGAGAGGGAATAAAGCTGACATATTCTGACATTTCCTCTCTGAAAACCTGATTTTACCTTCACTTCCTCCTCCCCTCACATCGTATTGAGACTGAATCAGAGGTTGGAATATGAAAACCAACCGCGTGGGAGCAGAGGAGTCCTGGGTCTCCCCCACTGAGAGTTTGCCTCCGAGGTGGGTGGGTGGGTGATTTTTTTATTTCTTTAGCCACAAATCATAACACAGAGACGGAGTGTGGGACGGACATCAAAAGAGACAATGACAAACAGAATCAGCAGTGAGAACAAACATTTGGTAACCGGAGCTGCAAGATTCAAGGCTTGGATAAACGGTTGTTTTAGGAGTTTGCAGCATGACGTCGCTGGAGGACGAACGGTAATCAGAGAGGTTTATCCTAAATTACACCAACATTCCTTCAAGTCCAAATGGAGCTTGTTTTCTACATTTCATGTAAAACGGCTCTTACCTTGGATGACACGTCGTTGTTGTGGGTGGAGGTGGGCAGGGAGGAGAGGCCGAGGCCCGGCTGGCGACTGGAGAAAGTGGGTGGAGGGTGGACGAGGGGCGGGTTGTGACCGAAGGCGCTGAGGCCGCGCTGCTGGGACAGGAGCTGCTGGTAGGCCATGGAGTTGATGGGGTGAGGGAAGGGAAACGACGGGCTGCGGCATATTGGGGAAAAACATAACATTCATTGGCTTTACGAGGAATTTGAGTCAACAGCAGTACAGAAACATCATGGATGATGGAAATATGAAAGAAGATAGGTAAATATCAGGGGATGAAACAAAGGAATGATGAAGATAATCAAGGAAACATCAGGGAGGAAGAAGTACTTGATTTGATCACAAGAATGATGTGAGGAATCAAATCTGAAGCTAAACTACAAGAAATGAAGACTGAAGCAGATTTCTGTCTCGTTGTCTTTTCAGGTGACTCGGTACCTGAGTCCCCCGACCGACAGGTGTCCGTAGGAGCTGCTGGCGGCTGAGCTGGACCGGGAGTTGTTGATGTACGCCACCAAGGAGTTGGGCGAAGTCCTGATCATGGTCTGGAGGTCGATGCTGGCATCGGACAGTGGCGAGATGGACAGCGCCCTCTTCCTGCTGAGCCTGGGCGTCAGTCTGGGGCTGGAGAACCGCGACACTGAGGACACAAAGGTAGGAGGTTGGAACGACTTATGGCTACAATCTGTCCCACTGACACAAACAGACTCAGCTGTTTGATGAAACCTGGGAACCTTTGACATCATTCACGTTACCCAGATTCTTTTTCTCTTGTACTCTGTGATTTCTTCAGGTATAAATCAGTGAAATCTGGTAAATTTTTAATCAAAGTCCCTGAGATCACTCTGGTTCTTCCCTTTGAGTCGTCTTATCATCTCTGTAGCAGTCAGACTTTATTTCAGCTGAAATCTGAAAATGATTCTGGAGCAGCTAAGCTTTCCTCTCAGCAGAAGATTTACTGACTGCATTATTTCATGAGTAAATATTTACTTTTGCATAACTTTTAAAGGTGTGTGGAACATATAGCTAGAAGACATTTTAACATCATTAAAATGTTCAGACATTTCAATGTCAGTGATTTTCTAATGGAATCTGAAAATCACTTCTTTGATTCCATTAGCGTCAGAAAAGTTAAAACTTTGTCGCCTGTTTGTGTTTTAAATCAAATTGTTAAAATTGTGAACTTTAAAAATGTTCATGATTTTGCTAACATGCTATAGCTAGGTTAGCTTAGCAAGTAGACATAAAGTACCTGAACTGTTTAGCTCCTTTGTGACTTTTTTCACAAGGTTATTAGACATAATTTTACTTTCAATCTTATTTAAACCAGCCCAGCTTTAAGCAAGACAAATAAAAACAGTTTTGCTAAACTTAGCTAAGCTCTGTACATCAGCTAGCTTAGACTAAGCTAATAGGACCTGAGCTTAGCAGCTCATTAATATGCATTATGTTTGTTTAAGAAACATTTAAATGATTAAAACAACTGAAGGCAAATCAAGGAACAAATGTTTGCTTTGAAAAGAGGCCAGTTTGAGAAAATACTATTTATAAATAAATCTGTGATGGAGAAAATTGAGAGAAACTCAAATTTAGTCAAATGAAGCACTGTGTGCTGACCCCATTAAGATTCAGGCATAACTAATCAATTTGTCCACAATAATCCCCCTAATCACTTCAGATAAACATCAACCAGGCCGGGTTGGACTTCACCATGTTAAATGAGGGCAATTTACTGGGAATTGATTTGGTTCTGCATGGAGATGTATTCAGAGCAATCTGATCGATTTCAGCTCTAAAATGTTAATTCAGACAAGGACTTTAAACGGAAACAGTGAGGAGACTTGGTGGAGTTTATCAGTGAGTTTGGAGGAACGCATCCAAAAACAGCGACTTTCTGGTGACTTTGGAGCTTTAAGATATCCTGAACTTTATCTGCTTGCTGCTTATTGTGGCGATAAAACATCGTTTCACTGAAGAAATAAAGGAAGAAGAATTTTAATCCACCGTCTTTAGTTCAGCCATGTTGGAGGATTTCCTGCATAAATGAAAAAATTAGGGTGAATCCATCAGGCCTCTCCAAACTCTGAAATTATATTCTATTTAATATAATAAAGCGGACAGAAGAGGTCGTGACCTTTCATCCATCGCACCGGACTTAACGTGGAAAATGGATTTGCTATGTTAATAGCACTTAGCATTCATCAACGACTCATCAGCGGAAGTGTTGCGCAACACAAATAATCATCCTGCTGGAACGTGTTGTGCTAACGACTAAAGCTTAACGAAGCTTGGAGGAACTTTAGTAATGGAGAAACTGGAACGATTCGATGAACTGTTTGGTTCTCTGGAGATCCAAAACCTTACAGGCGGTTCTGGAACCATCCTGAGACTTTTCCTGCTCTGGTGTTGAGTGTCTTTGGACGGGCATGGCCTCTGTCAGCAGACAGGTGCTAGTCTGGTGATTTCTGGAAATTATGATGCAGTTAGTTTGGAAAACGTCCTCCTTTTCAGTCGATGACTGTTCAGTAACTGGAATTAAACATATTTTTGCTAAACGGCGTCCTGATGATGGATCTTCTGAGGTCGTTTCCATGAAAACCTGCAACATGTCGCCTGTTTGGCAGCGTTGATGAGGAGGAGGGCGTCTTCATCACATGGAGTTTAACTGATGATGGGACCAGACGCAGACGAGGACGTCGTCTCCAGGGACGTCTCAGCTTCATTACGGCGGCGTGTCGTCGTGGGACTCTAATGGTTCATTTAGGGCTGGTACAGGTACAGATCAGGTGTTGTCCATCCGCAGCAGGCAGCCGCATTCATCCTCTCACCTCTGGGGAGAAGTTTATTAATGTCCCACTGCCACTGATGAATGGACCAATGGGAGCGCCGGATCCCCCACTCGTCTGTCGTCATTTATCAGCGCCGCCGTCGGGACGGCTGGATGGGGAGACTCAGACTCCATGGACGTGTTTTTGTTTTAGTGGAAACAGGAAACAGGAAGTTCAGACATTCGTTCTGTTCCTCGTCTCTTTGGTGGAAGATGACTGACTCTCTACCTGAACTTTCTCTGGAGAAAAACATGAACTTCTGCATTTGAAAGAGAAAGAAACACCTCATTTTGGTGGGAAACCATTAAATATTTATAATTTCTTAGACAAACCTGAACTCTTTACGTTTCACTTCATAAAGGAAATATAGGAGATTCAGTGTTGTGGTTAATTTAATCTCTAAATCTCTAAGCATCATGTTGTACCGATAACTTCTCATGTTCAGTAAATTTAATCTGGAGAGATTCTTCCTAACAAACCTCCAGGTGTTTCCTGATGTTTCCTTTGTTGATGACAAAGTTGACCTGTTGCTGGAAAACCTGTGATGCATCAGAAAAGCTCTGAAAACTCTCAGTTACTTCCACTTTCAGCCACTAGGGTGAATTTCACAATATTTTGAGGTAATGTTGTGAAAACTATTATTTCCATCATTGTGACATCATGACTCCACAAATACGCAGCTCTAGAAAAACATTTCCATTTCCAATACACTTCTTTATCGACTGATATGAAACACTTACATCATGATAAGTTTCTCAACACATTGGGAAGTGGCCTAGTCAAAGGTTGGGCTTAGTGTCATCATGACAAGCTGAAACCTGCAATCCTCTGGGATGTATGACAGCATATCAGGACCATAGATAGAAAAACAGGCAAATCTTAGAATATTTTCTAGAAAAAAATGGAAATTTCTAAGTTTGAAAAGTCAAAAAAAAAATTTAAAACTTGGAAATTTTTTAATTTGAAAAGTCGCAAATTTTCTAGAAAAAACTTGGAATTTTTTTCTTTTTTGATTTTTTTATTTATTCACCAACTAGCGCTTACAAAAAAAAACATTATGGAGAAACAAATAAAAAACATTTAGATAAGAGAATGAATAACAACAAAATAAAATTAACGGGTAAATAAAAAAAACTTTCTCAAAAGTTTAACATTTTTGACTTTTGAAACTCAAAAATTTTAAATTGTTTTTAGAAAGTTGCTGAGATTTTTATTTTATTTTTTAGTAAATTTGCAACATTTCCACCTCGTTCTTTTCTGGGATGTTCCTGAGATTTATTTGGTGATCATTTCCTGCTTGCTGTTGTAGATCTGAGCTCAGAAGCCGGTAAACCCGTTATAATCTTCCGGTCGGAGTCTCTGGGAACGCCGGCGCTCCGGTTTGTTTTGGCAGCTGTCTGATCTCCAGAGTGCGGCTGGCTGGTTTCATCTGGAAGCTGCTCTTTGTGTCAGAGGAAACGATCTGGAGTTCATCAGCGCCCGACGTCTGCGGCCTTTTAAGGCGACAGCGCCGCCGGCGCGTTGTGTTTACAGAGAAGCGCAGAGAGGCGTCCATCAACTCACCGTCAACAGGAGAGAGGTAGTCGGCCAGCGGGGCCCCGGGCCCCGGCAGCAGCAGCTCGCTGTAGGGGCTGCGGTGGCTGGCCATCAGGTGGTAGTACTCCGCCGCCGTGCCGGCCCCCGGGGGAGGGGGAGGAGGAGGAGGAAGGCCAAACAGGCCACGCTCCTTCAGATGTTCATGAGCCACTGAGAAACAAGACGGGGAGGGGAACGTCACAGATGGTTCACTGAGCAACACGGAGAGGCAGAGAGCCTGGAAACGCCTGGAAAAACAGCCTGGAAACGCCTGGAAAAAACATTTAACTGCCTGGAAAAAGCTTTTAACAACCTGGACAAAACATTTAACAGTCTTTAGTAACCTGGAGCAGCCTGAAAAACCCTGGAACAGGATCTTTTAAAAATCCATTTTCATTTTATATTAAACATAAGTAAAAAAAGTACAGAAAACTTAAACAAAAGAGTATTTAACTTGTAAAATGTAAAAATGTAGGAGATATAAAAGCACTAATAGGCATTTTAGCGCTAGCGCAGAAGCTAACAGTCCTTAGCCAATCTGTTAGTGTTTTAGCACTAGCACAGAAGCTAACAGTCCTTAGCCAATCTGTTAGTGTTTTAGCACTAGCACAGAAGCTAACAGTCCTTAGCCAATCTGTTAGTGTTTTAGCACTAGCACAGAAGCTAACAGTCCTCAACCAATCAGTTCCCAGGAAACAAGCGGCGCTCCAAGTCGTTCACTTTCTGACTGATCATCACCAATAAGCTGAACTGGTAAACCTGCGTGAGCTGGTACTGGTCTGACTCACAGTCTGCTGGGCTGAGGCCTCTGGCGGCTGAGATCATGGACAGGGTGGGGCTGCCGTGCACCTGGCGCAGGTAGTGCTCCATGTGGGGCGAGACGTACGGGTGAGGCGGGCTGAACGGCGACTCGCCGGTCGCCATGGCGCCGGGCGACAGGCGGATCAGGGAGATGTCAGAGATGACGGGGCTGCCGGTCAGACCTGCAGGGCTGGAAACAGAAACAGTCAGGCTGACTCCAAGCTGCAGCGCCGGGCAGGTAGGATAAAATAAATAAGAAACTGAGAAAAATAAACCTTCAAATGGTTCAATGGTTTGAATATCAGCA